CCTGTGATTTCGCAAAACCTGAAACTTACGTGATCAGAGCCTGACAATCCTCTGTTGTTAAACCACCTCCTCCTCTGTTCAGATGCTTGTGGATCTGTAGCTCTTTGTACCTCAGGGCTTTCGCATAGGCTTTCGTATCTTCGGCACTCTTGCCTAACCTATCGTATGCGATAGGTAGAGGACCCTACAGAAAAGATGGAGTTGCTTTTAGCAATGGTCAAAATCAAGTAAACAAACCCTTTCTGAGTGGTCCATGAACTCAGCCAAGTTGAGAATTGTCTGGATGACATCAGGATGGTTACTAGTTTCCAACGCCTAAAGACAGATTAAAAGAGTGCGCGCAACTTCATGTTAGTGAAGAACTTACTGTTAAAAGAGATGCCTTCAGTCGATCTTGATAATCTTCTGTCAACTCCGTCCATACCGACATGAATGCAGCATTGAAAAGGTCCCTAAACGAACAAAGATTCTTTCCGCAGACGCGGGAAAGTCGGTAAAAAGTATTTTACGACGAACTTAGCAAGATGTTGATGTTGATCACTCAGTGATGCTGCAGCTCGAATAGCAGCTGAGCTTCCAGACTAAACATTGCCTTGCGTATGCATCGGTACAAGAGCTTTCATAAAGTCACCTTGATGAAAGCTACCCGCAGTTTCACTAGCCACTGAGCCCATTCCTCCTTCGACACTAAAGAGTCAACAGACCAGGCGCGAACCACAGCCTACAATTTTCATTTCAAGACATAGGGCAACAGGAAAACAATCGCGAATTGTACTGATGACAGTTTACTCACATCGATGTTCAACCTTTGCTTGTTGACAGTCCAGGTGAGCATTTGATCCATGTTCTTGGCTGCTGATGGTGTGAAGGTATGGGGGACGTTGATCCTCTCTGGTGGCACTGGTCCTGTACCTCTTCGTTTCCCAGGTCGTTCTGCCGGGTGAAGCATAGCTTGCTGAGCAGTTTCTGGAGCGATGTACGCATTTACAAAGTAGTACAGATAGACGAAGCACTCACTAATGTATTTCTCATAAGCTTCTCCAGAATTTAGATTATACTTGCGCAAGTTCGCATCAACACCTCTTCGAAACACTTCGAAATGTTTCCACATCTGAGATGTAGATATAGCCAGCAAGTTAAGCTTAGAAAAACGAAATTACCTGGTTCACAATCTCAATAAGTAGCTCAAGTAATTGTGGCTGAAGTGCTGGAACAGAAATTGCAGACTGCCACGACTGCATAAGACGGGGAGCATAGTCGGACAGGTCATCACTGCGGGTTAGATGTAAAATGGTATCTGTAAAACGGTTTAAATTACAAACCAAGACACAAATACAGAAAAATTTACGAATGGAAAAATTACGCACCTAAAGCTGACTGCCTCACACTTATAGGCACAGCATTATCGTCCAGTATGCTGAGAACCGGAGGAAGAACGAGGGGTAGATGAGGAGTCAAACATCCGGATAGGGATCTTACACAGGATAGAACCTGAAGATAAGCAACTAGCTAATATAACTCGAACAATCTCAACTTACCTGAGCAGTTAGCTTCCTATCCTCACTATTGTCTGTTTGTACCACGTGCAGCAGATACGGAATAAGTTCAGCAACATGTGGAGCAAATTCTTGTCCCATAGCTGTCCCAATTTGCTCCAAAACGCTAACAACTGTTACTTTTACACTCTGGTCGTCACTCCAAGCATCCTAGAGAAATTCTAACAGACAGACTAGTTTATAGACAAATGCTGACTCACGGCAATCAAACTGAAGATTTGTTTCATGTAGGGCTTGGCATGTACTTTTATGATGGCAACGAGGCTAGCCAGCTGTCGTAAAAAGAACTCTCGATGGGACGGTCTCCCGCGACATGCTCTGGTTACTTCTATTAAACGAGGCACCACCTAGAAGACTCATTGCGGTAGATCAAGGTTTGCTGTATCACAATTACGCAGTTTCAAAACTAGTGAAATTATTATCGAAGTAAAAGTTTGTAATAAGCAATGTATCTCCGTTAAAATAGAAGTAGAAACGGTACATGCTTACCTGCTGTACGTACTGCGGGAAAGAATCACCTAAACTTCGGAAGATTGTCAACAATGCTTGCGCAATCTCCTTGTAGTATTGTATAAACGCTTCGTCTTGAACCTGTACAAAACTTCTGCATATTTCTGAAATCTCCATTAACAAAGTTGTCTTACCATAACCATCAGATTAGCTATAGTTATGGCAGGATAGAATTCCTCCAAAGTGCATTTTTCGTAGTTGTACCACTGTATTATGTCTGCAAACATCGAAATCGAAATGGAGGAGCTAATGTTACCTAAGGTACTGAAAATAGAAACCTTGACGAGGATCAGCTGCATCTCTTGCCATCGGAAGAGATAGCGCTGTACTGATAGACGTTGCTGACTGCACTGCTCCAGTGAAAACCTGAAGACTGTTCATTCATTTCCGAAAATTGGAAAAAAGTTTGAAACCTTGTGGGTGTACGGATCCAGGGCTCCGAGTATGCCTAAAGTGCTTATAGCCTGTCGTCGCATTTTCGACGACATTTCTGTTTTTAGCAACCTGGGAACGACAAATTACAAGATAAGCCGTTAACAGGATTATGGCCTACCTTAACAAGTCATCCAAAAGGTTCGGGTAATCCTTGTATGGATCAACGACATATGCTGTAGATCGTGCAATGCGGCCAATAGTGAGCAAAGCAGCCTAAGAAACGCATCCTCGCATGCGAAACAAGAAGACAACGGATAACCCTAGTAAGTCTTCCAAAGAGTGACTCTCGGGTTCTAGGCAAAACTTAAGGCAGTAAGTTCTAATCAAAGCCTAACCTCTCTCCTCTGCAAGCTACTTGAGTCATTAATCAACTGCGTAAGTTTCTGGAACAACGGATCGATGTTGCGAACAATCTCGGCTCCTCCAACGACGCAGAGCTCGGATATGGCATGCAAAACATGGACGGTAACGTCGACATGCTAAATTAAACTGGATGAGATGGGAGAAATAAGAGATGCAAACGAGGGCAATTGAAAGCTTCCACCTTCATTTCGTTTCTCAGTTTCGGAAGCAGTGCTTGTAGGAGGGGACCTAAGTATGGCCGCATGAACTTCGGGCTTTGACGCGCTAGCTGCGTCAGAAGACGAGCACTGTGTTGTTCCAGTCTTGAAAGGACATAAGTAGAAGAAAAGTAGAAGATAGGGTGTATATAGTAAGTAATATTGGTCATACCACCCGTACAGAAATAATGTGTAGTCCTACTTACTTAGCCTGCCCACTATTCGTCAGCTGACTTAGGGTTTCCAAGAGAACACGTCGCATTCTTGGCAAGACGAGCGCAGGATTTAGTTCGGATAAGCGACCAAGAAGACATACCGCAGCCTAAATTTATCAGCATATCATCATAACAAGTTATAGAAGGTACTAGTAGGGCTGCTAACTGATTTAAAGATTTCCAAGTATATAGAGCAATCAGACCACAGAAGTCACAAAATTATAAGAATACCTCCTGCATTTCCAATTTCTCATCGTGCAAGGTCATGAACTGTAGCTGCAGCATCTCCGGCTGGGCAAGATGTGAGAGGAACGCACGATCTGCTTCGCAGAAACACTGAAGTACGCACAAGCGCACTTCCAGTTCTGCAAAGATGCATTAAGTAGAAAAGAAAAAAAAGTGAAAGCAGGAATCACTCACGAGGATCGACAACTTCCGCGCTGACCAGACTTCTGAGAACTCCATGAATCAGTGCTAACACCCACTGCCGATGTTCACGATGAGCGATCTCGTACACCTGTATTTATTATTAGTGGTGAGATGTTACTGTCAGAGCTTTTAGAAGACTTGCCTTCACAAATGG